CCGGCAATAGAGACGCCTCTGGGGACTCCCATGTGAATCTAGGCATCTTGGGGGGTATCACCAGTACCTGCTGGTTAGCTGTCAATGCAGATCGCCCTGGAAGGGATTCCGGTATCAGGTTGGCCGGGCATGTGGAGTTCTTGGGGCCCACCTTGAAGTTACAGGATCACTTACGATACTCCCAGGAATTTTTGAAATCGCGAGATGCTGCTCGGCATGCTCTCACTATGGTTTGGTTATTCGTATAGCCTCTGGGAGCGCGCTTAGGTTTCCCCCCGTGTAGTGTTGCTTTTGGGGAAACCGCATGGGCCGCGGGAATGCGCGGGAGTCGTCGAGCAGTGCCTCCGTTTAAAGGATGGCACAAAGGAAAGCGGAAAGTACATAAGGAAGCCCAAAGTCTATGGGAAGCTCAAGTCTGGCTTTTCCGTTCTTACATGTTCTTGTTTGCTAGTGTGAGGGAGTCCTTCCGGAAGTGCGTTAGGAGGTTCCTCATGTTTGTCGTCGATATATACTCTTCTCGCTACTTTTAGTTTGTGAGTTGAAAGAACTTGAAATAGTGAGAAGTTAGAGATTCCCGAGGTGAAGATTTCCCCCCCCCTGTAGTTAGTTTGCTACGAATATTATGGTATTAAAATTAATGTGAGTTGTGCGATCCTGTCACGTGAGATCTAGGCGTTTTTTTTTGCAGCTAGCAACTCGTTCGTTTCGTTTCGTCGCGTCGTACCGCCTTTCGTATCCCGGTTCGTTTCGAGGTTCGCTTCACTGCTCCTGTCGCTCTTGATTCGCCGTGCAGTCGTTCGCTTCGCTATCCCGATAGCCTGTACCGATCGATAGCTTTACCTGGTGATGTTATATCTACTCCAGTCTTTATCGTTAGCCAGTTAGTAAGAAGAGAACTTCCCCGCCGCTCAGTTGTGCGATGGTTTTCATGAGAGCACTCCTGGCCGTTCATTACGCGATTCCACCGTTGCTACGGTTTCTCCCAATTTAACTTTTTTTTTTAAAAAAAAACACCTATGGTGCACAGAACCTAAAGGAGGGTCCTCCCGTGAAACGGCCTTTCTGTTACAACCGATCCGGGTTGTGCCAAGACATGCCAATACATGCTGATTAAGATGAAATAATAAACCCGTTTGAGGGGAATTACAGAAAAGAGAAGATGAAGAGGAAATAGAATTAATAAGATTTTGCATTGTAATAATGGATTAACAGAAGGAAAATGTTTAACAAATTCCTTCCACCTTGGAATCCTGTACTCTGCGATCATCTTTGTTTATCATTTAGAGGTGGTAAAGTACGGGTACAAAAAGAACCGTCCGGCAACGCAACAGCAACCCCACTACCACTATAAATTTACTACCCCTACAACCACCACTACTTGAAATAAACTGAAAATATGTGTAGACATACAATAAATATAAGAAAAGCTATATGTAAAATTAGAAAACAAAAAAATCAATACTTGGTATACCATCCCCTTGCATCTATGACAGCAGCAACTCTACTAGGCGTAGATTCCCACAACCTTTCCAGAAAATCCCCTTCAATATCCTAGATCCAAACCTGATTTAGAGCTACTGCTAGATGTTTTCTAACAGTTTCTGGGCCCCCCTTGGTCTTGTGGATGTTGGGAAAGCGCTGGTGTAGCTTTTCCTTCATCCTCTTCCAACAGTGCTCAATAGGATTGAGGTCAGGAGAATTGGCTGGCCATTCCATAACCTGTATGTTGTTTTCCTCAAACTAAGCCATGGTATCTCTTGCAGTATATATCCTTGCACCATCCTGCTGAAAGATAGGATCCCCAACTGTATCCTCCACCTCCTCCCAGACATCAACTAAACCATCCTCCAAAACTCCAATATATACAAATATATCCACACTCTTGTCAAAAATAGGAATCAGAGGACCCTTATTTCTGCCCCAAACACAAGCCCACACCATCAGCTTTACCCCTGGCCCCTTGGTAACTCCATGAATACAGTCTTTGTGCCACTTTTCTTCAGATGTTCTGAACACCCATATACCCTTAAGCTCCTTAGACTTTTCAACCAAGAATTCATCACTAAAGATGACTCCTTTAAAGTCTTCCTTTGTCCAATCCTTATACTTCATTGCCCAAGCTAACCTCTTAACAGCATGCTCATCCTTTAGAAGAGCTCTTTTCCTAGCTCTCTATTTCTTTATGTTGACTGAGGCTAAAGTTCTCTAAACTGTTTGGAGGGAGGAATGTGGTGCAACATCAGTGCGCAATTCTGATAAAGTCTGGTGGCGTGCCTTCTTAGATGCTCAGACTAGGCGGCGTTTGGTTCTGGAATCGATAATTTTGGGTCTTCCAGGTATAAGGAGGTTTTTTGCATCACACCTCTTTTGGAAGCAGTCATAGAAAGTTTGAACAGTACTCATTGGGTGGTTTCAGAGCTCTCCAATCTCTCCAACAGAGATTTTCTTTTTTCTCAGAGTGACTATTTGTCCTTTCTCAAACTCTGTAAGGTAGCCTGTCTTGAGTGGAGGCATTGTGGTTGAGGGGTGGTTGATTGTAGGAGTAGGGTGTTTTGAGGTGTCACACAGTAACCACCGATCATACGGATCCTTTTGGCCTAGTACTTTATATATGAAGGTACTGAGAATAGATTGTATTTAAATTTGGTGTCCTGTCAGAGGAATGACTCTGAGTCTAGTAGTACTTGCTATTCAATCTTCATTTATCCTACGCACATTTACTCCACAGTGTTTTTCAGTCTGTTACTAGGTATAGTCTATCATTTGTTTCACTAGGACCCAAATATTTACTTTTCAATCTTGAGGTACTTTTTCCTACAAGATTAAATAAATTATCAAAGATGTAGGATCTGTTCACTATTTGCATCGCTTTATCACCTACATTGTGGTTAAAAAAAATATTTCTTCTTATAATCAACTAGTTCAAGATCACATTTCCCAGTTAGAAGGTTCTGGTTTATGTTACTTTGCACCAGAGTGGATAGATTGTAGCGTCCTGGTTTATGAAAGAATGATTTAGATTGTGATAGCTGAAATATTTTGATACATGCCTTCTTTCTTTCTGTTGCTTGCACTACCACTAGGGTTAAAATAAGTGTAGGGATTCCTAATAGCATTAGTCAATAAAGAAGTCCTATCATATTGAGTAAACACTTGTTCTTTAAAACAACTTAGACAGATAATGCATAAAATATTCTAGACAAGGACTAGCTGATCACGCCAGTGGTTGCTTGAAATATCAGGGGATGGAATACTAGTATGGCATAGGATCACTGCATAAGGTATTTTCAGTCATCAGGAGAGGGGGTACACATCTACAAATGATTATATAGTACTCTTAGAGACAAGTTGAGGTCAGGTTTACAAGGGAGTCGTGATTGCTAAGCTAATTACTGGTTATATTTATTCTGCAAAGATGACCAAGATGATTCTATATATTATAAAAGTTAGTTGGTAGCAGATTAGAATCATAATCACTCTACAGACAGAGGTTTCTGGAGCCCTTTTTTGTACCATATCTGCTTATGAATTGTGTTACTCTAGATAGAGCTGCTATTGGCCTGACAATCCCTACTGTCTATGGGTGTTCAACTTGGACTCAGCAATCGGATTAGATTGCTTTTCTTGTATGTTTTCTAAACTTGTTATCACATAGTTTTTTACAACAAGCTACCACTAGTTAGATAAATGAATTACTCATGACAATCATAGAATAGAACCTAGTTATTTCCTCCATCTCAATTGGTCTTGATCTTTCTGCATGTTGACATCCTCGGTGCCAAGCATCAGATAAACTATTATTGGATAAACTCTACCAGGTTAGAGTTATTAATACCAAATCCCTCTCATAGTAAAGATGTAGGATATAGCACATGCAACACACTATCCAATCATAGATTCCACAGGGGGAGCACCTATATATTTGTGCTCAGAAACAGATTACTATTGCAAAGCTTGATGCCTACCACGTAATATACCAATACGGGAGTGCTAATCAGTCTGTGGAGTCTAACAAAACTAGAAACTCTGTGTCCCAAGATAGCGTACTCAAAATGGCTAAGGGAGACTCCAGTAGTATGCAATAGGAAAATGAAGATAACTATTTGTCTGAGTACATTAGAATACTGTCTGTTGAAGTCTCCTGATTCTATTAAAGTTGAATCATGAAATTTTACTCATGTTCTTACTTAACCAATATGTAAAAATAACCAGGTATTAACCTAGAGTTAAAACAAAACATAATACAAACTAACTCACTACCAGCTCTGGTTTCAGTTACAACTTATAAGAAAGGGCACACTGCTCCAAGATTTCTTTTTTTTCCTGCCTTGATATTCAGGTTTTGCCTTTAGTATAGCTTATAACCTATACCCATTCTGGTTCTTCTAACTTAATAGATTCTATACAAGTTGAGTAAAAAAAATCCAAAACAACACCAAGTTCTCAGAGGTTACTAGCAATTCACTGGCAAGCTGTGATATTCAGTATATAAAGCTCTGTATTCTAGTAATAGTTAATAATTCCATTTATTTCTGCTTAACTAATTAAAGTTTCTATTTCTTTACAGATTGTTAAATCTTTAACACTTTGATCACATGATTGATAGTTTTAACAGAGCTTGTCTTTTATCTAATTCAACAGAGTCTGACTATTTAAGTAGCAAAGGAGCATTTCTTCAGCAGTTCAGAGACAGTATACCAATTTTCGATAAAACTTTACTATGAAGGAAAATAATACTCCACAAATACATCATATCCTGAATTTTGACGTTAAGCTCTCACTTACAATCCAGTGCCTTAGTAATTACTTCCAACATCTTGTCAGGGACACCGTCCAAATATTGACATTTTAATAACAGCACTCATGATTCAGAGAGATCTACTTTTGTTACTATAGACAGGTATTTTACGAATCCCTATTCCATCTTCCTATAAACATCCGTAGTCCATTTCTGTGCACCTAACCTGACTCTCTCTCAAACCTTTGGCCCGTGAAATATCCTACCCATATCGTCGACAGTTTCGTACTTTCCAGTACGCGGCATGTACATTTGTCCTCGGCATTTCCTCTAAGTATTTCTCATTACACCCAGATTTTGTAAATTCCTTGATGAACGCTTGAAAGTTAGCGTAGAATTCACTAGTACCAGTCACAGCTGTATCAGCTACCACGCTGGCGTGAATATTCAGGATCTCGAGTGTTTCCCTGTGTCCTACAGAAGTCAGTCATGATGCTTAAGTTAAGATATGGAATAGCGGAGCTCACTCACTGATCTTCTGTACATCTGAAGGAGTCATTCTGTAAAGTTCGACGAAGATCAAACCATGGGTTCTGCCACCTACCCCCTCATAGAGCTGGGCATCCGCAGCTGCGTCGCCTCCATGCGCTGTATTGTTACCATGGCGAATAGCCTCCAAGTCCCTCGGGGTGGCCTCGCCGATCTTTCGCTTATAGGTACTGATAAACCTTTCACGAACATGTCTCTACTCCTGAACAACAAGGGTTAATGAGAGCAGACAGTCGTTCATCTGAGTGGGCCCTTCCTTAAGAGAAGCGATCTCCTCCTTATGAGAAGCGATCTCCCCCTTATGAGAAGCGATCTCCTGCTTATGAGAAGTGATCTCCTGCTTATGAGAAGCGATCTCCTCCTTATGAGAAGCGACCTCCTTCTTAAGAGTAGCAATCTCAGACTCGGATACGTGGGCCCGGCTCTCCATGTCAGCCAAATTAAGACCACGGCGATTACCGACAAAAATTGATCCCCTCGCCCTCTCAACCTCCAGTTCCTCCTCCTCTAATGCCTCTGCAAGCGCAACTTTGGCATCCATCTTCATTCCCTCATCGGAACTGATTTTCATTTCGGTGACTAATATTGCATCACACATCGGGTGATCTTCAGTTTCCGGCAAACTCCCCCGGCGCTCCTGCCAGCCCCTCAGGCGCAGGGCGAGGTCTGCCTTCTTTCCTGTAGTATCAAGTCCCGCGACCTTACATTTCTTCCGAAGCTCTGTTACAGTCGGTTCCCTTGGCATGATTGTTGTGCGAGAGTTGGTTGAGTGGTTATGGGTTGTTAGTTGGCGGATCAAAGGGCCGGAGGGAATTGCGGACTTAACACTGATAGGGGCGAACCTAGTCCTCTTAAATGCTGCCAAGCGACTACAGCCGGTACCAAAGCCATTTCATGATGTAATAACTTAGGAAGGTAGGGTTAATGGTAATTATGCCATATCTTGGCAGAGATTCTGTGCACTCTACTATGATGGAATGCAATGATGATAATAATATATATATTTAGTGAGTAAAACATCAGGGTAAAACTAGGCATATCTTGTAAGCAACGAATAATTCAAGATATTACACTATATTGGATCAAATTCATGCAAGTAATGGGGAGAATTACCCCTAACCCTGCTCATAGGAGGCATATAGTTCAAGCAGTCTAAAACGTGCACTAGAAATTTCCAGTTTTTCCAATTCTCTAGGCTCCACCAATATACAACTCTAGAATTAAAAAAAGACCCAGTTTATGAAGAGGAAAAGAAGGAGAATGGTTACTGGACTTTTTCTTTTTCAATTTTGATTGGTAGAAAAATAGGCTGTAGCTTTCAAATATTTGTATTTTTGGTGAGAAGTGTAGAAAAATGTTACATCACCCACAATTTTTCTTTGCTTCATACCCTAATAATACCCTAATAATATATAAGAAGGTTTTCGAATTCAGAATTAAAGCAAACTCTATTACTAAATTTTAATTCCTGAAACCTACAATCATTGATTATTACTATGAAATCTAAAAATTTAAAATTTTTATTATAATATATAATATTATAATAATATTATGACAACTATTGTAAATTTCATATAAAAGGTATATAAGAAACAATTGTAAATATAGTATGAAACCTTTATGAGAGCTTATACCACAGGCAATATACTCAGATTTTGATAAAATCATTTAAAAGTTTATACAACAGGCAAAATGAATAATGGACACTTACTTACTAGTATCAAGAGGGAATTTATTATTGATTAGCAGAATTCTAAGCTGCAGTAAAGTACAAATATAAAAGTCATAGATGTATTATAGGTATACATAGAATCAACTAAGAGAATGAATTAACATCAAATTTATATTTTTGATAGGGAAACACTTGTATACCCTATGCTATCATACAAAGCAGTATTTAAGTTCTAATAATTATGACATTATAATATTGTATCTTTCATATTATGATAGAGCCCCTTACTTCAAACCCTATTCCTCAACCCTTTTTTACCTCATTTATACCAAAAATATAGGTCTTGGCATCTAAGTTCGCACAGCCACATGTCGCACTTTTTTTTTCAGCCTGGTGCACGTTTTAGACTCCTTGAACCATAGGACGCACATTATCAAGATAATGGAGGACCCTGCATGAATCAAAACACAACGTCCAAAGCGCAGAAAAGATCACATTTTTTCCAGACAGATTTCAATAAGCTGCAACCTTGGCACAAGTAGTCTGGATATATCAATGTCTGAGGTTGACCGCGTTGCTACCGCACCTCTAGAGTTACCTCTAGTTTTGAACCGTCTAAGACAAAATTTTTGATGGTTGAAAATTAGGTAAATGCAGCCCGCACTGCCTGTTGCAATGCAACCCCGTGCTGACCGCGCGGTCAAACACCACAATGAAAAATTCACAAAATAGACGGTTAGGTACACGTGCCCTGGATTGGATGTGACTCAGAGATTTTTTTGCCTTCTTAACTTGCAACGGGGGAGGTCCGTTGCAATGCATAACTTGAGTGCTTCAAAGCCATTTAATGCCGGCGGGCACCCTGGCGACCCGGGGAAGCACCATGATGCTTTACCTTGGTATCTCAGCTTGGTCCTAACTGGGCCCTGGATACTGAGCCTGTGTACAGCCGTACCTTCAGATAATGAATCCATTGTACTAGGGACCTCTCTATTACGAATGTATTCACCGGAAATATGATATACCCCCCCTACTCACGGACAAAGGCCTACCGAAATCCGGGATTTCGTTCAAATCCGCTCTATATCGAACGGAAATTCCTGGACGGTCGGAATTCGTTTCTGCGAGGCCCGACTGTATTCATGGGATGGGATACACCCTAATAGTCATGACGATATCCGAAGGGAGAAACTGACTCACCGTAAGGGCATCGTCAGGCAATGCCTGAGGCGCTCAGACGGCAGAGGTATTTACGCGATGCTTGTAAGTTTGTATTTCAAGAATATCTACATGTAGCTACCCTAATTAGGACCACACAACAACCATGATTCCAATGACACTCATTTGAGTGATGTTGCATACTCGGCACTTACAGTCACCTCTACTCTTGGTCCTGGCGAATTGGTTACATGGGACAAGTTCACTAGGCTCTGAAAGGTGTGTTCAGACGCTCGTTTTCGCCGTCTTAATCAAGTTAATACATAGCCAATTGTGGGAAATCGTGAGGTGCTGCTCGACATGCTCTCACGATGGTTTGTTTGTTCGGGAGCGCGCCTCCTTTTCAAGGGCAATCTCGCTTCAGGCGCAGATAGGCATCTGCCAGGGCCGTTCGGGTTTTCGGGAAAGCACTTGGATCGCGGGAATGTGCGCGAGTCTAGGAGTAGTGCATCCGCCCGAAGGATGGCGGAAGGAAGAAAGGCACGAAGGAAAGCTGAAGGCCATGAGGAGGGCCCGGAGGCTAGGGAGCCGAAGTTTGTCTTTTCTTTGTTAGATTTTCTTGTTGCTTGTTTATGGGAGACGTATCTGAAAGATGGGGGGTGTGAGGACTTGGTCGTCGTTTCTGTCGTTGATATTTACTCCTGTCATTACCGCTAGTTAGTTAGGTTCCAGAGAGAGATTGTGTGTGCGATAGCTAAGAGAGGTTGGTGAGGTGAACAGTTTTCTCCCCCCTGTGCGATTGTTTGACGTGAGTGAGTTTGGCGTTTAGTTTCGTTCCGCTGTTCGTTCGCTCACTCCTTCGCCGTTCGTTTTCCTCCCCGGGTTCGTTCGTTCGGTCGTTCGTCGTTTGCTGTTCAGTCGCGCGTTCGTTTTTGATACTGTGAAGTCTCCGCCGATCCGACGTCTAAAACCAGTCTTCTCCAATTATATTCATGCGCAGCATGATTGATCGGATGCAGGAGAACTAGATTTGGCAACAATAACCGGGGAAAGGTTTGATGGAGTTCATCGTAGGTTCGGTTGAACAATCTACTTTTTCATTGCCGCCATAATGTTAAAAGGGGAGAACCTGTCTTTTTTTCCAGGAGCCGAAGGGTGCCACCACTGCTAGGGGGGATCGGAGCTGCCTTTCCCTATCTCACCTCCCCGCACCCCCATCCGCCGCCTGCGGGGGGGCCCCGGGGATGCGAGTGAAGAAAATAGTTGGACGTACGGAACAGTTGAGAATCGCAGGTACTCACTCTTACAGTCATTTAGTGATACGCCCCGGCAGTTAATCTGGGAATTTCAGGCTATCAGAAAGGTTCCCTGTTAGTACTTCTAGTCTTATCCCGTAACGGGTTTTGGGGTTCGGAAGGACGGAAGGTACAGGATTGTATGTTACTGGTCGGTAGTGTTCGGGAGTCTTTGTCGGGGCTCTGCCAATGGGCGATATTAGTGGTAAGGCCTCTTGTCGGAAGAGCAGGACCCCGGCGGGGGGGAGAGGTACCGGGATCGTTGCGAACTCACGAGTTGGGATAGAGAAGGTTTGTGAGGTTTGCATAAGTCTATACAGATTTTGAAAAGAGATCAGAGAGCCGGTCGTTATGGAAAGGGGCGAGCAACCAACACATCAAGGTCTCCTATCCCTCCGTTCAACTTTATTCCCCTCAATCTCTTTCCTCGCATACCAGCCAGCGCACCTTACAAAAAGAATTCCATACTATACCAACATATGCAGTTTTTACGCCCTATATCGACTAGCAGTTTGGTATCAAGATGAAAATAATTTTATCCACCAGGACTATTGCTTCTCCCCCCTATCTCCCCCCGTCTAGGGTGTCTAGGCGTCATTTCAGCCCTACCGGTTATTACAAGCGAGATAGCAACTTGAAAATCCGCCCGCTGCCGCACCAAACGATTCGCTCTCGAGCTGCGCTAAGGTAATCTTGATTCCAGTACCGTAGTGAAAGATCGGGACTTTTATGACAAGAAAATTCGGAGGTATTCATGGGATTCCTCGCATTTTGAATATTTTTCACTTGTTTGTGGATGAAGTTACACCGAATACCAAGTTTTCTGATAAGAAAATGTCCTTGTCCCGGAAGTTCTTTCGTTCTTGTGTGGGTGTTACCTACCCCTGCCCCCCCCTGTTCCTAAATCACACCTGGCCAGCGAGTGACGAAAAGTTTCCCAAACGCGCTGAGCCTCCCCCAGGGCAAGCCGAGTCCGGCCCGGTCAAAACCTGGAGCTGGGCCCCAGGCGGCATCCCCCATATGCTGATCGATATCACCTAACTAACGAATCACAGCTAACCTATTAGGAACAAAATCCGGCCAAACATGACCAAGATATCCATGTATCGGGGATAGCGAATTTCATCCGTTCCTACCGAATATTCTGTCCGTCTAACCCAAAAGGACCACAAACTATGAGACATCTCCCTTTTCAACACTAGGAAGCGTTTCTATCACTAGCATTCCTTCGTCCCTTTCCCATCGCAGTTCCATTGCCTCCCTCTCAACTCATTAATAAGACATCCTTCAACTCAGGCATACTATCCTACAAAACCTCTTCTTTCAAGCCATATTCTCCAGCGCTATAACCTCTGCTCAAGAGTTCCACCAGCAAACCTGGAATGTCTTGAAATACGGACAGGGACACGGGATACATGCTCGGCACACTTTGTGGTCCCTTTAACTTTACCGTATCCCACTCTCCGTTGGAAATTTCGAGGTGCTGCCCCCCCTACTCCCACGATAGTTCGTCTGTTTGTCCGCATAGTCTCTGGGAGCTCGTTTTGGTTTCGGGCGCACTCTGCCCTCGAGCACACTTTGGCTTCCGCAGGAGTTTGTTTTTTCAGGAAAGGACTTCGGCCGCGGGAATGCGCGTCAGTCTCGGTGTATTGCATCTGTCGCAGGGAGGGTGGGAAGGCTCCAAGGAGAGCAGAAAGGCCATAAGGGATGCTGGAGGCTATCGCCAGTGGCAGTTTGTCTTTCCTTTTACTAGCACGGGGGTCACAGCAAGCAGAAGGGGGCATATGAGCAATAGTGTGGACACGTGTGGTAGCCCATGGAAAGATAGAAGGGCATTGTTTGTTGTTTTGTCGTTGATAAATACTCCTGTCATTACCATTAGTTAGCTGGGCGCGAAGCATTTTTCCCCGCCCATGAGTTGTGCGATCGTTTCGTTTGGTGATTGCACCGTTTCGCTGTTCACCGGTTGCCGTTTAGTTCCACAGCGCCTCATTCATTCGTTCCGCTGCTCGTTCCGTTGGCTCCGTTAGTTCACCCTTCGTTCGCCCTTCGTTTCGGTGTCGCTATAACCTTCGCCGATCGGGCGCTCAAAGCTCTCCAGCCTTTATTTGTCCCACAACCCCGTGAGTTAGCAGAGAGCTGATGACAGACAATTCACCCTACTGGGGACTGTCCTCCGCCGTCCAGTCCAGTCCGATTTATCCACAGCCCCCGCCATCCCTGCAGGGACGCCCGCCTAGTTAGGAACACTGATGAGTACCGCCAGAAGATTCGGAAATCATGCTAGGTCACTCGGTTCCGGTTGTCCTTTTGTACGATAATAAGGTCAATGATACACAAAGCTTGGCCCATAAAGGACCCCTTCACCTCTCACCCATCTACCACTATGGGGGTCGCTTCTTTCATAACACTGTCAACCTCCTAAAACGTTCCAAAGGAATGGGTTCTTTTGTCTTCTCGCAGGGTTGGGGGATCCGTCACCAACCTGCTCAAAGGGTCATCGGCTTACTGATGCTACCCGCGCTTCCCCATACCAACCTAGAGCCCAAGCCATAAGCCTGCAGGTTTCAGGAACCTCGGAGGGCTCCCAGCCAAGTGCTTTCTTGCCCCCCCGTAGTCAGGTGTCTGAGCGAGATTACCGATAACAGCATGTATGGTAGGACTATTAGAGTCTATGGATTTCACGATGCCCTCTAATGCGCGCTGGACGATGATTTCAGATTAATCATAATTTACTCTCTTCTGAAATAACCTAGCCAGCTTTTTAACAGTCAACAGCGTTGTGTCATCATATTACGATCCAAGGACCTTCTAATGCCTCCGCGCTTCCTCTTCATTTCGCACTGCTCCTGCACTTTGCAAGCCGAAAACCCCCGTGTCTCGCTGTGTTTCATTGCAGTAATGTACAGAGAAAAATTGCATCCCGGTTTCCGGTCTCTCGCTCCCCTGCTTCCACCTACTTCACACATGGGCAAGCAGACAGCCTCATATAAGCAAATCTGAGAAACCCCCGCATTCCCGGTTCTTTTATCTCCTCTTCCATTCTCCTCTCCTCTTTTTTCCTTTGCTTCTCTTTTTCCACTTCTCCTCGTTACTTTTCATCCCGTTCTAAATGCTCTATTTTTCTCCCCACTGCCTCTCACTTCCTTCCGGACCTCCAACCCTATTCCACGCCCGTTCGACATGAGGCTGAGCTGCAACGGATTCTCCGGGAAATAGGTCCTGCGTCCCCCATCTCGCAAACAAAAAATAATGGAAAAAGGATAGCTACGAACTTCAGCAGACAGAGGCCCGATCCGCGTGATTATAACAGAGAAGCGGATACCGACACTTCCCAATATGCTAAAAATAAACTCGCGGTATCTGACCCATCGGGTTGAAGGATAAAACTCGGGACCTCGCATGATTGCGAGAATTGAGGAGTGAGAACAAGAACTTCTCGGGTGACAACGCATACAACATCGTTTTCTATGAATTATGAAATAATATATGGCTAAAACAGAAAATGAAGTAGAAAATAGGAAGGACCAAAAGAAGGCAAAAATGAACAACACCTCCTCCGCATCCTCCAGCCCATTATCCCTGATAGTCAGGCACAGTCTGTCTCTGTCCCCCGGGCGATTCCTACGCTCTGTTGGGCCGGTAGGAACCGGTAGCCCACTTCTGTTCCCTCAAGTCCAGGAAAACTCCCTGCAAGATCACCAATCACTAGGACGGCCTGTTGCGCTTGAGGAGCACCGCAGTCCTCCTTGAACGGCGGAGGGTGGGGGTAGCGGGATGATGTCGCGTACCCTCAGGATTTCTTCGCAGTGCCAGCCGTGGGGACCGCCTGATTTTCACCGAATCGCTACACGCTCGTCGGAGTCGAAGCAGACGAGCCAAGTTGTTGGCACTTAATTGAGTCTTGGGATGGTCAGGTCCAAGAATCTTCTCGCGACCCTCTAGTGCATGCCGATGCATCACCTCTGATTCATCGTACTTTCCCTGGGTTTTCAGCACAGTAGCCAGATTATTGACACTTGTTAGGGTGTCAGGGTGGTCCGGTCCAAGAATCTTCTCGCTCCCCTCGAGTACGCGCCGGTGCACCGCCTCCGATTCACCGTGTTTTCCTTTGTATTGCAGCATAATAGCTATGGTACTGACAATTGTTAGGGTGCCAGAGTAGTCTGGTCCAAACAACTTCTCGAATCCCTCTAGCATAGGGCCATTCATTGTCCCCGATTGATTGAACTCTGCTTGGCATTCCCGTAGAGTAGCCAGATAGTTGGCAATTGTTAGGAGACTTGATCCACCGCACCAGCCCCGGTACCGCAGCGCAACAGCCGTGTTAGTGACACTGGCTAAGGTGCCTGGGTGGTTTGGTCGAAGAATCTTCTCGCTCCCGTCTGGTGCACCCCGATTGATCTCTGGTCCGTCCGATTTCAGCCGGGATTGTGCCGCAATAAGCAAATGGTGGTAGGCTCTCAGGACGATATAATTAGGTGGGCCCAACCGGCCTTCAGCATCCTCTAATAAATTCTGAAGCATCTGCAGGGCCACTTCAGCCTTTCCTTGATATAGGTTCACCGCCGGTAGGAGGACAACTCTCCCCGCACCTTCCTCGAAGTCATACCCTTTACCCTCTGCCCTGGGTGCAATACATCGACGCAATTGAATTCCTGCATCATTGTATGAACCCATCTCTAGGAGGCAGTGGCCCATCCGAAAACAAAGCTCTTCGGCAATGGGATCCAGCGAACCTTTGGTTACTGCAAGTGCGTGTGGAATGTACACAGGGCCAGCAGATCTCGGCTCCTTCCAATCTGGAGGAAACAGCCTTGAAAGCAATCTTAGCGAAGTGGCCCTCCATCGGTTCAGCTCCTCCGCCGGCAAGTACACTTGTAAAGATAGTTGTACCAGACGATGAAGCTCGTAAAATGTCTTGTCCTCATATTTAACCGTGGTAAGTAGGGAAAATCCCAATAGAGTTCCGATGGCCCGACAGCACTCAATTGGATCATCCATCCCTTCCAAACCACAGTGACTCAATAGCTCTCGAGGTATGTTCTGGCAATCGAAGAAGGCAATTAGGCGTAGGAGATCGGCCGCAAGGGGCATCTGGAGTGTAATCGGGTTAAAGGTGGCGAAGTAAGTAGCTAGTATGCTTTCTGTAATATCGGCCTCACGTTGTATATCACAAAATGGTTGTGAAAGCAGTTTCTTCGCTTGTTCGTCGCTTCCCTGGAAGATAGTCCAGTAAGTGGAAGGTGGTGTCTGGGTCTCGGTCATGAAGGCTGCCGCGCCTCCGATAGCCAGAGGGATTTGATGTACGGAGCCCAGGATCATCTTGATAGCCTCTTTTTCTTCATCTCCGAGAGCACTCCAGCTACCAAAGCGCTTCAAGAACAACGCCTGCGCTTCATCTTCCTCCATCTTTCCGACATCGATCCTTTCACAACCCTGCCAGGATGCAACCCGGAGAGAGCTAGTGGTGAATATTATAGTACCACTTTGGCCTTGTGGTACGTATTTGGAGATGGGACCGCTGTTGCCAACGAAGTGCTCCTCGTTATCGGCGTTGTCAATAACCAGTATCCAATTACCACCGTGCGGATCCTCGAACCACCTCTTCATTCCGGCCAGGAATTTCTCCTGATCCGTCTCGGCGCTCGCTAGAGGAATCTGAACATGGTGTGCAACAGCCCTAACGCCCTCAATAAATTTTAACACCCCACTCCCTTGCACCCAGAAAACATCACAATCACGCTCACTGGCGCGCTGATAAACAAATTCAAGGGCGATCTGAGTTTTCCTAAGAAAAGTCAGTAAACCCCCGCAGTAATAATAATGAGAACATACCCTGATCCGCCTAACCCATGAAGCGCGATCCGGTGGTGACCGCCACCCTCGGAAAGCCTCTTTATCGACTCAATGAGATGTTTACGGCATGTGAAATTTGTGTTTCTGCGAGAGGGAATTAACCGATAAGGCCTAGATGTTTCTCCTGGCTCAAATAGCGCATTAGGTCTCTGCCAGGAATCAATGGGGAAACCGACGATACCTCTATCCCCAGCTCTAAACACACACCCTTGATACATCTGTCCGAGGTTGGTAACGTTGCTCGGGTTTCCCGTATTTATATTAATATTGATATTATTGCTTCCGGAAACATTATTATCCCCTGAATTCCCGCTGAAGTCTCCGCTGATAACGGCTTGCATTTTTCTGCGAGGATTTTTATGTGAGCTCTTGTTATTTTTGAAACGACCGACATCAAAGGGAAGGGGAACACACTGGTCCATTAGGCGCTCTGGTATTTAGCTCCCTGTAGACCCGTTTTCCAATCCCCGGTAGGAAAGCATAGGATGTCTCTAGCTAATCAAAAACGAGAAAGGTAGGCTACTTTTCGCCAACCGAGGTATGAGAGTTCGAACTCTTTTCGCAAGCCCTTAAAAAGACCAACAAGATGAGGATACGAGTAGAAAAAGTAGCCGAGGACCCAACCTTGGATATAGAGATGAATAATTCTGTAGTTTTAGGGCAGCTTTAAGTTGTAATCCTTGCTCGAGCTATATGACCTCAGTGAAGCCGAAATATCTAGCGAAAGGACACTTAATAGGTAGAAGTATTAGAGCGATAGCCTCTCGAGGCAGTACAGGTACCTACTGCCAACATTTATCACCACCCCTGACGATTGTTACTTTGTTATCTTACACTTTTTCTCCCAATCTTGCAACTTCTTCCCATTTCAGGCAATCTGCCCATCCACTCTGGACTTTGAAGAAAGTCACCAATGCAGCCCATTCGTTTTCCACATGATCCTCATGATAGATAGTTATTTTGCCTTTATTTCCATGAGCCTGTTTGGAGGCTTCATGGTACAGAACAGTAATGCACCGCTTCACATCCTTCTCTAGTAGCTTGCAGGATACTAGTTCTCTTTCTAGGACCCTAGCAAAGGCCGCAGTCTTCGCTAGCTCATTTAAGCCAGCCTGAGTGCCTGGCGGACAATCCTTCTTTATTTTCCCCAGGTCTTTTGCTTGCTGCACAATCCATTCTGCACATCAATGTTAGTCATCAGTACACTGTTAAACGGGAAAATTGTTTTACCTAATCCCCCGTGGAGGTTGAACATTTCCCTAAGCTTTAGGGTTTCGCTTTTTCTGGTCCCTTAGGGCAACCTAGAGATTACTTAGAGGTTGTAGAAAAAAAAAAGGAGGACTGAACCTTACTCGGAAAGCGAAGATTTCCTCTGATTTTGCTGCCAGTTCGGCTGTTTTGTCAACCAAATCCTGCTTGGACTGTGCCATCAGCTTGTGCACCCGGAGGCGGTAGGTGGCTTCTCGCTTTTCAACGTCCGTTCGATGATGGTGGTACCACCTGGAATCAAGTTCTTTGAGCATTCTGGCGGGGACCAAAGTTGCTTGGGTGCAATAGTTGGGGGGTGGGAAACTACCCGCACCAGCATCGTAGTTACTTAGATTGGGAATAGGAAGATAGGGAGAAAAATAGGGTGGCTGATTATCAGTTGCACCAAGGCCATGTGGAGGTATTACACCACTAGGGAAGCTGGATGGATGGGGTAGGATTGGGGAGGATGGTGTGGGAGTAGCCATTGCCAGTGAAGATCGATTGTGGATTTGACACAGTGCCAGAAGCAGGTGTTATGCGGATGCAAGGATGTATGGGGAAGCAGATATCTGTATGATAGGGCCGAGTGGGAGCTCTCATTTCGTTTTGTGACAGTTTTTATGGATTTTTTTGTTCCAGAGATGGTCAGGCCATTTCATGTGGGTGCCATCCTTGTTGTTTCTGTCTGCATGTCGTGATTTCTCACCTCCGCTATGCCTGGGCCACTGTCAACCAGAACATTAAGTCAGACGTGTTGAAAGATGCGTTGTGGGAGTAAGAAAGGAGGATTCAAAAAGAATGACAATGATGATGTTTTTGATGATCGTTGTTTTTGTCAAGAGATGACCAGTCCTTCGACCTTAACTACCAAAAATTCCCAGTGCCAAGACAATCATCCCAACCTGACTAAGCATCCTCCTCCTTTACCACCAACACTTCCCACCCTTTACAGAATTCTGGCAGCCTTCACGAATCAAGTAAAACACAAAGCCATGGACTAAAGAAAGAAAAGAAACTAGCAAGCTTTATAGACCCTTTCTGTCAGAGTTTATTGAGTGCCATTAAAACCCCTCCTACACATTGTCTCAGAGGAAAAAGGTACACTCTCTGTCAATTCCCACAACAAAATGAAACAAAAACAAGGAAAGCAAAATTCTCCCTAACCAATAGCGTCTACATTTTTCATTCCCAGATGTCTTAAAAATTGTTGCTGCTTTGAGTTCACCAGTGCCTTGGTCAATCCATCTGCTGCATTCTTCTCTCCAGGAATGAATGTAAAGTCAACAATACCTGCATGTTGAATTTCTCGCGCCTTAACCAGCCGAATGTCAAAGTACTTGTTACGTCCAGTAATTCCTTCTAAACGAAGGGTCTGAAGAGCCCGTTCACTATCGGTGAAGACTTTTGTTGGCACAGCAAGGGTTGGAGAGTAACTTTGTTTCGTATCGGATGTTTGATCTAGCCAATGTCTCTCTGGAGAAATGTAGATATTGAGTACAGGTTGTGGTGACCCCATATCATAAAGCAGTTGTCGGAGCCAGAGAGATTCCTTTACCACTTCAAGAAATGCAGAGTATTCTGATTCTAGAGTTGATGTAGGAAGAATTGTTTGCTTGCGTGACTGCCAGGAGATTGGTCCACCAAGGATAAAAAAAAATTGAGCCTACGGAGCATCGATCCTGTATATTGTTTGCCCAGTCTGCATCTGTAAATCCAACTAGCTCCAATACCTCGTATGATGAGGCTCAATAGACAAGGATAAGTGCCTTGGTTCCTTGGAGATATCTTAAAACTCGCTTTGCAGCAGTTAAATCAACGGAATACGAGTTGTGACTATAACAGTTGAGAGCGGACATGGCTTAGCCCATGTCTGATCGACTTCCAAGCCATGCATACATCAGAGCTCCAATAATTTGAAGATAGAGCTGTTGATCAATTGGGTGATCATGAGTAAATTCAGAGAGCTCAGTATTGCAGGCAAGAGGGGTGGAGACTGGATTTGCTTTATCCATTTG